TTTCTCACCCTGTCCCATAATGCATCTGTTACTGTTCTCTCCTTGTACCCAGAAGGAAATGAGGCTCAGAGAGAGAAAGTGATTTGCTCAAGGTCAAGTTTGTTTCACCTGAGGCTGCAGACTCTCCCTGACCTGCAATGTACGCCTTACCCTTGGCGCCAACTGCCTGCCTCAGGGGAGCTGACCCAGTCTCTTATGGTCACTTAAATATCCCAGATTCCATTCAAGTTGCCTCCTCCTGGAGGCAATGACTCCATTCAGGCTTTGCAAGAAATTCTACCTTTGGGGCACCGGGGAGAAGGAGAAAAATCTAATCCCAAGTAATAAACTGAGCGCTTTGTTAGAACATGTGACAATAAAAAGCAAAATCCTAATTCAACACCATTCTCCCGTCCTTCCCACCTCTTTTGTTTGCTAAACCTAATTAATTGCTCTAGAAAGATATATCTGGACAAGCCTAGTGCTGACAAACCAGCTTTTAGAATTTACCTTAAATTAAAGGTGAGTTCTCATGTCTGCTACTTGAACCGAATTCAAGCCTTCACTTATAAAGAAAGTCTTTGTTCATAAAAGCAGCCTCAGTCCAGCCTCAGTCTGTATTTTGTTCAGTCACATTACTACAGAAATACCTTATTGCAAGTATCTTAATTATTCATGACTTCTTGGCAAATTAAGTCACTTGCTGTTCCAGCAGCTAGAAGGGGAGGAAGTGTTCAATTCCAAAGAAATTATGTCTCCCCAGCTTTGCTAGCCAGGCAATGTTGTCACTGCCAAATACCTTATGAATAGGTGGGAGATCTTCTTTCACTTATAGTATATGAATAAACAAAACACCCGGAGACTGCCAGGTATTGCATGAAATGGATATCTTCTGCCCCACCCTGATTTCTCTCTAGAGTGGCGGAGCTTCAGGTTGCCTTACAAACAAGACTATTCAGACCAGAAGCAAGAAAAATGATACCTTCTAAAAATTTTATCAACAAGATGATAAAAAATTAGGCTCAGTAAAATATGGAACTTTGTGGTCTGTGTTTCCAGTTCACATGCCAGAAAGCAGAGAGCATTGACTGGCATAGTCTCCATGGTTTAGAATGGAGAATCATGGGATAGCAAGACAGTTGTTCTAATGCTGAGTCCCCACACCTTTCACTCAAATTACTGTGGCAAAATACTTACAAAGGTGTTTGTGCATTTATCTGTTGCCCTCACCTTGAAACACAATGATTTCTATTTAGAGAGCACTAGATTTGAGATTCTGATGTTGCTGGAGGAATTTTATACCTGTGCACTGCACCCTTTCCCATTGTTAGGTGGATATGTGTGATCTGGGGGGGCCCAACCTCATTCAGTTTCAGAAATAGGTCTGTTCGCTATAAAGGAGGACGCATTTTGTTTTTTGGCCACCCCTTGCCCCAATTTTGCTCTTCTTGGGCCATAATCACTCCTATTGAGAATGCTTAAAATGGAATCCCATTGCTTGTGCCATTCAGTGCCTGGGGTGGGCACAGACCATAAATTGTACTCTCAGAGTATAAAGAGGGACATTTTTGATAGTTGATGAATATAAGAAATTCTCTTTCTTTTTGGATATGTTGATTTGTGGGTCTAAATCCTAGAAGTACTGCTATCATGAAGGAAGAAACCAGCAAAGAGCAGGGAGCTGGTGGCTGACCCTGTAATCTTAGCTACTTAAGAGGCTGAGATTGGGAGGATTGAAGTTTGAGACCAGTCTGGGCAAATAGTTACAAGACCCTATCTCTAAAAATAACCAGAGCAAAATGGACTGGTGTTGTATGGCTCAAGTGGTAGAGTGCCTGCTTTTTAAGCTCAAAGCTCTGAGTTCAAAACCTAGTCCCTCCAAAAAAAAAAAAAAAAAAAGAAGGAAAGAAAAAGAAACCAAAAAAGAAAGGATAAAGCCAACAAATGAACAAGACCAGGGCTAAAGCAAGTATACAGAATAAACGTTCTATTCTAATCAAACCATGCTTGAAGTTCATTCTATGACTAGAGTTTTTTTTTTTTCTGGCAGTGCTGGGGTTTGAACTCAGGTCCTACTGCTTGGTAGGCAGACTCTCTACTACTTGAGACAATCCTTTTTGGCTTTATTTATTTTCCAGATAGGGTTTACAGTTTTTGTCTGGGGTTGACTTTGGATTCAGATCCTCCTCTCTCTGTGGGAATTATAGGCATGCATCACCATGACTGGCTAACTACTAGACTTTCAAAGTCACGTCTTTCCTCTGCAGCTTAGCTTGCATTGGGTTCCCAGCACAACTAGAAAACATCCTTGCTGACAAGCTGGGATAACACGTACTGAAATGCTTCTGAAGCATGCTAAATATTTCACATGTCAATTCATTTTCTTATCCACCCCTGGGACTGGTGCTATTACATCCCCACTTTCTGAATGGTGACACCGATGCATAGTAAGGTTAATTCCCACGGCCACAAGGAGGAAGGGACTGGATTCACTCACTTGTCTAATTAACTTGGGCACAACGGTATACAGCATTTCCTTTTACTGTCCTTCAGTTCTCTTCAATTCAAGTCACTACTTTCTTACTCAGTATTTGAAAAGCGCTTCTTAAAGATGGTCTTTCTAGACAGAGGATTAGCTCAACAATAAAAACTTTCTTTGCAAACAATTAAGTATGTTGCACAATTAAGAATACCATTGTCAGGTGCAGTGGCCCCTAGCCACTCGGAAAGTGGATATTGGGATGTTTGAGGCCAGTCCAACAACAAAGAGACCCCATCTCAACCAATAAAAAGCTGGGTATGCTTGTCATCCTAGCTAGGTAGGAACTGTAAATGGGAGGCTGGAGTTGCAGGCCAGCCTGGCATAAGGTGAGACCCTATTTGAAAAATAAAACCAAAAAGGACTGGGGGCATGGCTTAGGTGGTAAAGCACCTGCCTGGCAACTACAAGGCCCAGAGCTCAAAATCCAGTACAGGGATGAAAAAAACGAATACTAACTATGGTTCTCCTAAGACTGAAAATATTTAAAAAATTTACCTCTCCGAACTTAAACTTAGAGATCATTTTCTTCGGCTAATGACTGTACTCATAAAAGCCATCATGATTTTATACTATGATGAGAGGGCATTGGTTCAGTCATCATCCATTTTACAGAAGAGAAAAAATATTTTACAAGCTTACTCTTTCAAATTGCTGCTGTGCTTAAAAATGTTCATCAAACTTATAAAGAACTCCCAGGGTCTCAGGCTTCTGGATTTTCATTTTTGAATTGGTCAGTAACAGCATTAGAGTTAAGCCATAAATCCCCTGAATCCTGGGGAACAAGACACAGAGCCCATCTGGTTGAATTTCTTTTTGAAAGTTTCTCAAACATTAAGAAAAAAAAAAAAAGCAAAAGTTCACAGGTACCTATTCTATAAACCAAACTGAGCAGAGACTTCCCAAAAGAGAAAAAGCCTGAAAGACAGCCGCACCTCTGACTCCTAAAAGCCATGGGAAATGTCTCATGTGGCCAGATGGGATATGTCAACATCTACCTAATACTCTCGACCCCCCCCCACCACATCCTGCCTGGCTCTCAACGCGCCTTTTGGGTTTCATCTAAAAAAATGCATGATGTGTTATACAAAGCAGGAACTGTATGGAAGCCCAAGTTAAAACGTTACATTATAACAGGGATGACAAGGGACCTTGATTCTTCAGACTTCTGATAGTCTAACCTTAAGTGCTAGCCTTTTCATTTTGCCTGATTGATGGAAGGCGGTGGCTTGTCAAAACCAAGTGCTTGATCACATATGGGACACAACATAATGACATCAAATTCCAGTCATATTAGAAATGGGGTTAGGGTGGGTGGGGAGAATCTAAGCACTACATCCAAACTATTCCATTTCACAGGAAAGAAAATGTGACACTACATTTCCATAAACCCAGGTACAGTCCTCCTAATTTAACAATGCAGTTAAAAGAAGAAAAAGAAACCTCAAAGATGTTAACAGCCAAAGCACAGGACTTTAAAATCCATAAATTACTGTTTCAAAAAAACATTCAGAGAGGATGAATGGTCTCCTAGTTGACAAAGTTGCTGCATTTTTGAAAGCCTGTAGGATCGGACTCAACAAAGAAATAAAGAGACTGTGCTTTGTGACAGGGAGTAAATCCCAACCTAAGCCCTCCAGTGCTCAGCCAAGCCACCCTCCCTTCCCGGGCCTGTCAGCCTCCTGCAAAGTGTTTGCCATTTGCTGTCCTTCCTTCCAAAACGCCAGCAGACACAGAATCAGCTTTTCCTGGCTCTGCCTTGCAAGTTGGGGCTGCCTGATGGAAAACTGAAATAAAATCAAAAGGAAGACAGCAAATCCACTAAGATGTGCTCTGACAGTCAGCGGGTGTGAAACCCTTGCTTCTGAAATGCCACCCCCACTCGAATGAAATGAGAAAGAAGAAATCACCCGAATGTCAAAGTCATTCCTACAGCCCCTCTGCTGCATAGCTACAGCCTTCTTGTCACTCCAGGAACAGACATCTGCAAATGCTAGGAGTCACTAGCAAGTGCTCCCAGCTTCCCACCCCCTGCCCAACTGGAAAAATTCACAAGCTTTGCTAGACGACAGTCACCTAGGGATTTGACCCAGGGGCCAAGCCCCCACTAGGAGTTGCAGAAGAGGGGTGTGTGTGTGTGTGTGTGTGTGTGCTTGGGAGGGGACAGAGAGGGCCAGAGGGAGAGACGGTGTGAAATATACACACATACATATAATCTATCTATCTGTCTATCTATCTGTCTAGAGAGGAGAAAGAAGAGAGAGAAGAGAGGAGAGAGACAGGGAGGAGAGAGAGAGAGAGAGAGAGAGAGAGAGAGAGAGAGAGAGAGAGAGAGAGAGAGAGAGAGAGAGAGAGAGAGAGAGAGAGAGAGAGAGAGAGAGAGAGAGAGAGAGAGAGAGACTATGGAATCATACAGGTGGAACCGGCCTCGTGCGAGCGCCACACATCCTGCGCGGCCCCGGCCCACGCGCTCCGGGCTCACCTGGTACACGTCCCGCAGTCCGCACCAAGTCCGCAGCACCTGGTGGCAAGCCCGCAGCCTCTCCGTGTACCATCTCCGCAGCGTGGACACGGTCAAGTTCCACACGAAGCGGCTGCCGCTGAACAGCAGGTCCTCCACACCGCACATGAACACCGAAGCCATGCCACTCTCTCGCTCGCTCGCTCGCGTCCCTCCCTCCCCGCCTGGGGGGGCCCTGGCTCCCGCAGCTGCAGCCCCTTCCGCCCCGATCCCCTCCCAAAGCCGGGCTTCTGCGGGCAGCCGGGAGCCAAGCCTTGCCACCAAAGTCGCCGATCACCGTGCGTGCTGGCCAGGCTCAGGCGGCATGCCCCGGGATTGGGCGCCCGCCAGCCAACGGCTGCGGCTGGCACACAGAAGCCCAGTGTCCACCCCCGCCCGCCCAGCCCCAGCCCCAGTCCCGAGCCAGCTGCGCTAAGCTCCGCCAGGCGAGCCCTGGGTGCTCCCGGGGCCCGGGAAGCCCAGGCCAGCGAGGACTCCCCCTGGCGCTCCCCGAGGGCGCGGGGCGCGCTGCAAAGGCCAGCAACTCTTCGCAGGCAAAGACAGGAGCTGCATTTCGGTGCACTTCGCGTGCACGTCCTGTACACACACACACTCACACACCCCCCCCCACACACACACGTCCCAGCAGTCTCCTTTAACTACTTGGGGAGCCCCTTATTGTACACTACAGGATCTTTGCCTGGCATCTTGCTCCGTCCACACCAATAAACACCTCTGGGGATACCACAGATGCAACAGGAAAAAAAAAAAAAAAAAAAACAATCCTCCACGCATCCCTATGGACCTCACTCCCAAGGGAACAGCCCTGCATGTTTCCTTGGTTCTGCTGGAGCCAGGAGATGAAGACACCAGGTGCAAAGCAAAAGGGTGCACAGGCCTCCGGACCCTACCTTGACTCCTCACTTGAGGGTCCCCCAGAAAATGACAACCTGCTGTTGCTGCCAGCTGGAGGATAAATTCCTCCACCTTCATGCCTCCAGTTCCAAGGCAGCAGTCAGTTCAGGAGCAAAACAAGGTCTTGGCAGGACTGGGGTTTGAACTCAGGACTTCAAGCTTGTAAAGCAGGTGTTCTACCACTTGTACCATGCCTCCACTCTACTATGTTCTGAGGATTTTGAAGATGGAGTCTCAAGAACTATTTTCCCTGCTTGGTCTGGAACCTCCATCCTCCATATCTCAGCCTCTCAAGTAGGTAAGATTATAGGCGTGAGCCACTAGTGCCAGGCTAACAAGAAGTTTTTGATCATCAGCAAACAGCTTCCAGTTATTATTTGCTGGAAAACAGAAACCAAGAATAGGATCCTTAGATTGTTTCTAGAAAATTCAGTCTTTGGATATGCCTAGGTTTATCTGCCATCACAAACCTCCATTGGGTAGCTTATTCTCCACTCAAAACAAAACAAAACAAAAAGCTGGTCCATCCCTCAAGAACTCACTAGCTAATTCATGCTTTTTTAAGCCCGCCCTCAGAAACTGATGTTCTCTAAGTATTTGGAAAAGGGAGGGCCTGAAAATTCCACATACCACCAGTCTCTATTTTCCCTTGGATTCTGTACGACTGGTCCCATTAATTCCATACCACTTCTCATAGGAAAAGCAACATAGGGAATTTCTTCCAGATGGAGCTCTTCCTGACTCCATCTGAAGACAATGGTCTGGATTTTATTGGAGGTTTCACACCTGGGTTGTTATCTTTGCTATTAAGTGGTAGAAAGGTAAGGTGCCAAAGCCATTGTTCCTAACCAGCTCAGGAAGCCTCAGAACAGAATATCAGCAAGTAAATCAGCTTTATTTCAGGTGTCAAATGTGCCTTTAGAATCTTAATTCAGGTGAAACCCAACCTGTTAAAAGATGAACACAAAATCTGTCCTCAAAGAGCCCATTGTTTCAAAATGACTATAATCAGAACACTTTTAAATGATGTTTCTTTTACAAGTAAAAAAATATTGCCTAAGCATTCTTGTTGTATTATTTATTTGGACACAAGACCTGATTCAAGATTTGCTGATTTTTCTTTGCAGTAAATCTGTGTGCACATTCGTGTTAGCATTCGGCTGGTATGTTTCAAGATTATCATTAGGATGTTTACATGGTATCTGAATATATGAGTTTTTAACTGAATCAAGAGAAGATGAACTGAGTATAGTCTGAAAAAGAAATGTCATCACACTGATGGAAAACTACTGAATTTCAACAATGGCCTGTAGGGAAGCGTGGATGGTGGTGGTGCCTATATCTTTTTAATGATGCAGTGCTTTCTCGGAAAGCTGCTTTCAGGCAGCCAAGGGAATACCAGAATAACACTCCAACAGGTCAATTACCTGTGCCTCCTGACACACTCCTCTGAGAAGACATGCTCAAGAAACACCTTGGCAGGAAACTCACCTGTGCACAGGTGGAATATCAATGGTCCAGTCCAACCTGTCATGAGGTTTCCAGAAAATGAGCCCTGGTGTAATAGGGGTTCCCGGAGTGTGTGGTTCCTGGACCAGTAGAGCAGCTCTCTCTGAGAGCTTGCAAGGGCTTCGAGCTCTCCAGCCACTCCAGAAGGAGAAACTGTGTGTGTGTGGGGGGGGGTGAGGTTAACGACCTGAGTTTTTCATGGAGACTCTGGGGGATTCCAAGTTGCACTAAATTGGAGAGCTAGGCAGGTAGGAACTAAATCTCCCCGAGAGACACGTGATTTCAGATCCCTGCTGCTCAGGATCCAAGGAATGTTTTCGTTAGGATATGATAGCTATACAGGAAGTTTGGTTGTGACGTTTCCATACGTGCATGTATCATACTCAGGTTTGATTAGTCCTCCATTATTCTCCCTCCCTTCCACTCCTTTCTTAAAATAACTTCAGCAGGTTTCAATGTTGCATAGACATACGTGTATAGAAAGTACATCAGCCATGTTCACCTTCCTTTACCCTCCCTCTCCCACTAGAACCCTCCCCCTTAACACGACCTGTTTTACATTCCTGTCCTTCATTGTTTAAGCGTGTTTGTTGTTCAGTGGAGATTTTGCCTTGGTATTTTATCTGTAAATATATTGTGCAAATCAGTGAAACCCCCTCCACTACTCTTCCTCACCCCTTCCCCTTACCTTGAATGGTTTTCAGTGTTTTGTTTTGCTTGTTCCTACACAGATATGATGTATTCCATTAGCACTCATTCTATTTTTCTTTTCATCCTTGAATTCGCTTCTTCTTCCTTCTTCTCTTCCTTCTCTTTCTTTTTCTTCCTTTGATACTCTTCTTCTACTTTTCTTCTCTTTCTTCTTTGCAGTACTGTGGGGGCTCGTGCTTGCTAGGCAAGTGCACTACCACTTGAATAACACCCCCAGTCCTTTTGCTTTTTAGTTTGTTTTTCAGATAGGGCCTCATGCTTTTGCTTGGGCCAATCTTAGACTGTAATTCTACTTTTACCTACTGAGTAGCTGAGATTACAGCCGTGCTCCACCACGCCTGGCCTTTGAATATGTTTCTTCAACCAGCAAAATCTGAGTGTCTTCAGGAATAAAATGAGGAGACTACTTGGGGAAAGATTCTATAAAATACTCTGTATGAAAGTTTTAGCATGGTTGTTAGCAAAGGCAAGCACCCTAGGAGAGCCAGCCATATCACCATCACCATCAGGTTTCCAATCCTTAACTCAACTAGCAAAAATGCTTTGCCTTCCTTATTGTGCTTATGTCTTCTCTTCAACAAAATTAGAGATATGGGCAGAAGAGGTTCTGCCTAGAAGTAAAGGGGGGGAAGCGGGGGGAGAGGATGGGGGTGGGGGACATGGGGAGAAATGACCCAAACAATGTACGCATATGTGAATAAATTAATAATAAAAAATTAAAGTAAATAAATAAAGTATTATTTCAGTTCCATATATATATATATATATATATATATATATATATATATATATATGGAATGGTTTCCATTTTTGGAACTCAGATAAAACAGTATAAGCAAAATATGCTTTAAAAATTCAACCAATTATCTAGATCTGCTTTCCTGTTTGTTGGGGATAAAATTGGGGGAGCAGTTCTGCTGTTCTTTCAAGTTCCCTAAATGCTTCTAGAAGCTCCACCTTTTCCACCAGAGCCAACCTTTCTTGGGGACCTAGGAAAGTAGGGTATGCTAAAGCTGGGTGCAAGACAGGCAACATCTTGTCCCCACCAATGCACAGTTGGTCGCTACTTACCAAATGGCTCTCCTCCCCTGCACAAGCAGAAGCTTGAAGATGGAAGACAAGGGGTGTTTAGAGGGAAGGAAGTACAAATTCCTCCAGTCCAGGGACTGGCAGTTGGAATGCAGATGTATAGTGTGGGAAAAGAAGGACAAGTTGTGTGTTCTCCTTAAAGTGGGCTAGCCAGGGGTGAACCCCATCCCAGACAGACATGCCCCTTGAAGCAGATATAAAATTTTCTGTGGAAAGAGCTAAAGCAAGCCAGTTTCAAAATCATCTTGCTTTTCAGTTTAATTTAAGAAGAGGATTTTCTTTCATGCCAGCCTAAGAGTTCACTGCAATACACTGTAATTTCCTACAGCTTTCTCCCGAGGCTTAGAGAGATGCTTCAGATGACAGCTTACTCACACACCTGGGAGTTCTGCTGTGGACGTCAAAGAGCAATTGTCATTGTCCCTGAGGCTCCTGTAGGTTCTCCTTTGAGCAATCAGCAGGCAGGAGAGCACAGTGCCAAGAAGACAGCACAAACTGCCAACCCTGCTTCTAGAAAGAACGAGGGGCTCACTGGTAACATAGCAGCTTCCCATGGTTCCCTTCCCCTGTCAAAAAGAGTCCCTCTCCCTCAGCCAAGTGCAGTGGTACATTCCTAGAATCTCAGCTACTTTGGAGGCTGAGGCAGGAGGATCTTGAGTTCAAGGCTAGCCTAGGTTACATAGTGAGACCTTGTCTCAAAAAACAAAACAAAACAGTAACAAGAAAAACCAAAAACAAATAAATAAGCAAAAAAAAAAGATATCTGTGGCTACTTTTCACTTGCACTCTATATACATGAAAACTAGTGTATTAAATTCTGATAGACCACAAATATCACACAAGTCTTTGGGGAAAAAGAACCAAGGTAACTAAACTTGATGATTGCCAACCAGGAGCAACTTGTCACCCACTCCCCACCCTGGGCCTTTCAGCAGTG